AAGTAAATGACTAAGATAAACAACAAGTTAAAAATCATCATAGATATTTTATATTTAGACAAAGATGGGAGGGTTATTTTCTTGAAAGTAACTTAGTTAAATTGTCACATTACAATGGTAGAGTTATAAGCGTCTTGACATGAGTTGAGACCCTAAGAAACATATACCACCCAAACTAATAAAAAACAGAAGCTAGATATATCTACTATGCAAATTCAAGCTAGCATTAATAAGAATCCTTCAAAATAAGAAAAACACCAAAGCGTACGACCAAGACTTATGGTCACATTCTTATTACACTGTTGAAGGTTAAAACGGATAGCGAACGGGACCAAATCAGTTTTAAGCTATTTTGAACAAAGCAAAACAGAGATTCAGTTATCCTTAGAGTAAGATTTTAGCGACTAACATCTAAACCAAAGAAACTTTATTAAAATTTGATTCCAGCTTACAGACCAGATATTTATAGGAAAAAAGAAACTGATGCGGACGATTAAAACGAAGAAATAACATGTTCTCAACGACATAATCTCCATCAAAGATTCGACATATGACACATGATATTGAAACAGAATGCAAGAAGAAAATGAGGTTACCTTTTTCCGGGCAGCAACTGGGACGAACGAATTTGAGAGAAGCGATTCTTCTACCACAATCTTTCGAATAGAAACGACAAGTTTAAGAAAATCCAAGCGGCGATCTTTTCAGAACTTAGAATCAGAAAACTAGGTATAAAATTTTTAAGTGTAGAATTGAGTATTGCTCTCAAGAACTCAAACTTAAAAACCTCTATCTCCCAAAATCCAATTTCAAAACCCCCTCCTATCACTTGGATGCAAAGGGTTATTTATAGGGGAAGTTGGGGCCATTTAGGGGGGAAATTCGTTGGATTTTTGTAAGAAAAATTTGAAATTTTCTTTGCTCCGTTTTGAGACCAACAGTAGAATGCATGGGGAGTCCTTTTTTGCTCTGAGACTCCGCGAAAAGGGGGAAAAGGAGACGTGAGAGTGATGGATTAGGTTGCTAGGGTTATGGGTTTGCAGATGGGTGACGAGATTTCCGGATTTGCTGGATTTTTCTGGGTTGCGTCTGGAGGAAGAAGACGAGTATGGGCAGTGGGGTCGGGGTACTGTTGGACGCGACTTCTTGCTGGGAAGAAGACGTTGTGCGGGTTTCGATTTCTGGGTTCATTCGCAGTAAAGAAGATGAAGTCGGGGAGGTGGGGGTACTGTTGGGTCGTTGTTGTTATTATATTGTGTGGGTGGGTTTGTTATAGCTGTAGGAATTGGTTAAGTATGTTGTTGTGATGCATTGTTGGGCTGCTAGAGTTGTATGTTATATGTATGGGCTGGGAAAATTGAATTGGAAATGGGCCAAAATTTGGCCTATTGAATTGGGTTAATGATTTGATCAATTTGATTGAAATCGTAGCCAATTAAAATTGAGAACTTAGTCGAATTGATTAAATTAGTAAATTCGACTAATATTTAAATAGGACGAATTTAATATAATTAATTAATGAGCTCCTTAATCTTAACGAAATAAAATAATTAACTCAAATATGAGATAAATAATTTAAGATATAAACTATTATATAACTAAACTAATTAACCAAATATTTAATTAAAACAAAATCTTTTTGAGACAATTTTTAAATATTCATAAAATATACTAATTATATACATAATTATGTGAAACATATATATTATCTAAAAATTATAAAAAGTGACAAGACTATTTAAAATAACTTGCGAACTATATTATTAAAAAAAATTTGAAAAATTTCTAAAACCAATTATTTTAAATCGCTTGAAATTGAAGAAGCTCAATGATTAATTTATATTGTGGAGGTCCAAAATTGGGTGTCAACAGCTGTCCCTCGTTTGACTTGGATTGATGAAAGAAATTCGAGGCAAATGAAATTGATGAATCCAATTTTGACCGACTACATCTTCATCTTTAGGAAATGGATTTTTGTATGGACTTTAGGAATTATGGCCAAACCTCGGTATCAGGTTTTCTACATATCTCAAGTTATATGGGAATTCATGCTACTTGTAGTTCGATACGCTTGATTTGATGCATGATTGTGAAAGAATTCAAATGTTATCCTGATATCCAATTATGAAGAGACCAGAATGCTTGAGAATAAGATTTGAGAGAGGATGTCGGAATACAGCCGAGTTTTCAATATTGAGCCCGCCTACATATCCTTAAACCTTAGGAATCAGGTGTTTGTAGTTCGACTCGGTCGATTGAAAAGGAAATCTATTATGCTAGATAACCTTTGTTTCTGGAAGAGTGACAAGTAAGTCAAGTATGGAAAGGAGGCTTGCAATCTCTTAGCCATGAATGTGGCGCGCTTCACACCCATAATTAAGAACTTACACGGACATAATTTCCAAAGCACTTGGTGTATTGTCACTCAGATTGAAAAGCTGCCTCCGGTGAGAGTGAAAAGTTTTCCAGATGCGAAATTCGAACTGATAAACCCAAGGAAATACCCACATGCCTTTTGATAGGGGTGTGGTTTAATTGTGGTGGAAGTCGATCCTCAGCTCGCTTCCTAAGAGTTTGATACTCCTCTTTGGATTATGTCCCAATTCGCTGCTAAGAAAAATTCCACGTTGTGCTGCATCGCTTTTGATGTTGTCCGCACCTGTGGTTTGATTTGAGTATTCATCCTCTCAGATGCTCTCAACAAAGACTGACATAAAACTCATTAGTGTAAAATATAATTCAAATGGAGAGATAGTGTCATTTACCATGTTGGCACTTAATTGTTCTCCTTGAATATTTAATGTCAACTTCTTTCAATTTGACGTAAAACAAATAAAGCATGTGTCTCATATTTATGACATGACTCTTCACTGTACTCTTCTTTTAATATTGAAGTAGCAAAATAGACTAATGTAATATGTTGATGGTTCTCTTGGTGGTTGAATATGATGGCCCTCTTGACGGTCTGAATATGATGGCCCTCTCGGCGGTCTAAATATGATGTACCTCTCGGCATTTCAATATGATGGCCCTCTCGGCAATTCGAATATGCAATGCCCTTCTTGATATTTGTATAGGATGGCCCTCTCGGCAATATGAATATAAATGGCCTTCTCGGCATTTGAATATGATGTCCTTCTCGGCAATTTGAATATGCAATGGCCCTCTTGGCCTTTGTATAAGATGGCCCTCTCGGCAATATGAATATGAATGGCCCTCTCGGCAATTTAATATGCGATGGCCCTCTTGGCCTTTATATAGGATGGACCTCTCGGCAATATGAATATGAATGGCCCTCTCGGCAATTTAATATGTGATGGCCCTCTCGGCATTTTGAATATGCATTGGCCTTTTTGGCAATTTGAATATGAATGGCCTTCTCGGCAATTAGAATATGAATGGCCCTCTCGGCAATTTAATATGTGATGGCCCTCTCGGCATTTTGAATATGCATTGGCCTTTTTGGCAATTTGAATATGAATGGCCTTCTCGGCAATTAGAATATGAATGGCCCTCTTGGCAGTTTGAATATGAATAGCCCTCTTGGCAATATGAATATGAATGGCCCTTTTGGCAATTTAATATGCGATGGCCCTTTTGGCATTTTGAATATGCAATGGCCCTCTTGGCAATTTGAATATGAATGGCCTTCTCGGCAATTTGAATATGAATGGCCCTCTTGGCAGTTTGAATATGAATGGCCCTCTCGACAATATGAATATGAATGGCCCTCTCGGATATTTAATATGTGATGGCCCTCTTGGCCTTTATATAGGATGGCCCTCTCGGCAATATGAATATGAATGGCCCTCTCGACAATTTAATATGCGATGGCCCTCTCGGCAATTTGAACATGCAATGGCCCTCTTGGCGGTTTGAATAAGTAATGACTATGAACGTCGTCTTTAATCAATATTTGATATGATGATAGGTACTTTTTTTATCATAACATCATTTTCATCGGTATCTCGCAACCTTAAGTGGTAGATACTATTCTTTAATCTGTCAAATACCTCTTCGGTCAAATGAAGATGTTACACTCACTAATAGATATTCGTTGGATATGTTCTCCTGAACTAGTTGGTTGATAAATATAGCTCATTTGATGATCTTATTATACCCTGCATCCACAAAAACATGTTAGTTTTGGAACACTGATCTGTGTTGAAGTCGCCTTGCTCCTGGTCTCGTTATATCTGGAACTTTGTCTGGTAGGTCCAATGAATCGCAGTAGACAAAAGACAAGATCATATTAAAACATTTTCTAGGTATGAAGTTTTTAAAAGAAAATTTAAAGAAAATCTCTGCCAATTAACTGTCACGACATGAACAAAATCATTTGTCTCAGATTTTGACATGATAGGTAGCTTGCTGGCAACTTAAAACGCTTTAAGAACACGTCAATTTGAGGCAATTGAATTTGACTTCGAAGGTCCGAGTATCCTTGATGGAATTTTTGAGGTCCTTCTCAAAAATTCTGTCCCATTTAGATGTTTCAAAAACAAATCTGATGCTGATCACGAGAGTCTTGAATTTGAGATCTCCTCAAAATTATCCCCAGTTGCACGTTTCGATATGATATTTGACTCTTGTTTGTAGGAAATGACTCTTCTTGTAGAATTTTTGAGGTCCTCTAAAAAATTCTGTCCCAGTTTCCATTATGAGGGGAAATAGAAATCTTATTGGGAATATGACCGAACCCTTGTGGTGCCTACGTATCCCGTTAAGGCAAGAATCAGGTCAAACGTAGTTTCCATTTCGAGAAGTGACAAAAATAGAAAATTGATAAGGAAACGATCGAGGCCGACATAGGCCACCTACGTATCTCATTCTTGAGAATTCAGGTCGAACGTAGTTCAAGTACAAGGGGAATGTTTCAAAACATAATGCAACAATGATTACAAGCAAACTACAATTACAAGGAAATAAAGAACAAAAGTAGCGTCCTTTAAATGTAGTATCTCTTGACGGCATCTGAATTGATAGCTTTTCGCCACACTCTACCGTCCATCTCTGCTTGATAGTACTTTGTGGACAACATACGGTCCTTGCCAGTTAGGTGCAAGCTTCCCTTTATATTCCTCTTGATGAGGGAAAATGCATTTCAACACCAATTGGCCTACCTCAAATGTTCGAACTCTTACTTTCTTGTTGAAAGCGTGAGTCATTCTCTGTTGATACAACTGGACATGACAAACGACACTCATTATTTTCTCATCAATCAATGTTAACTGCTCATATCGGTCACGAACCCACTCGGCATCACTCAATCCAGCTTCCTGAATAATCCTTAAAGATGGTATCTCAACTTCAGCTGGTATCACTGCTTCTGTTCCGTATACCAATAGGTAAAGAGTTGCTCCAGTTGAGGTTCAGATTATGGTCCGGTACCCTAGCAAAGCATAAGGCAAATTTTCATGCCAACATTTATAGTTGTCAATCATCTTTCTCAGTATCCTCTTGATGTTCTTATTAGCAGCTTCCACAACTCCATTCATCTGAGGGCGATATGCAGTTGAATTGCGGTGGGTAATTTTGAATTGTTCACATATCTCTTTTATCAAGTGACTATTCAGATTTGCTCCATTGTCTGTGATGATAGACTCTGGAACTCCAAAACGACATATCAAATTGTTGCGAACAAAGTCGGCCACAACTTTCTTTATCACAGCTTTGTAGGAAGCAGTTTCGACCCACTTGGTGAAGTAATCACTGGCGACCAAAATGAACCTATGACCATTGGAGGCAGCAGGCTCGATCTGTCCAATAACATCCATGCCCCAGGCTGCAAATGGCCAAGGGGAACTCATCGTATTCAGCTCGTGGGGTGGTACTTTGGTCAGATCTCCGTGTACCTCGCATTTATGACATTTTTGGACAAATCGACTACAATCATTTTCCATAGTCATCTAAACATATCCCGCCCATAAGATTTTCTTTGATAATGTACACCCATTCATGTGCGTCCTACACACTCCAGCGTGCACTTCTTCAAGCAATTTTGTGGCTTCTATAGCATCCACACATCTCAATAATCCCAGATCGGGTGTCCTCTTATAAAGAACCTCTCCATTCAAAAAGAAGTTGTTTGCCATTCTTCAGATTATTTTCTTCTGAATACTTGTTGCTTTTTTCGGATATTCGCCAGCTTCTAAGTACTTTTTAACATCGATATACCATGGATTCCCATCCCATTCTGCTTCCAGATGTGAACAATGTGCTGGTTGTTCTTTTAAAACTATCTCAAGTGGATTGATATAACTTTTTTTTGGGTGTTGTATCATGGATGATATGGTTGCAAGGGCGTCAACAAGCTCGTACTGTATTCTCGGCGTGTGTCTGAACTCAGTCTTCCTAAATCTTTTGCATAATCTCCATACCAATTGTACGTAAGGCAAGATTTTAGGATTCTTCACCGCCCATTCTCCTTGAACTTGATGAATCAACAAGTCTGAATCACCAATTATCAGTAATTCTTGAACATTCATGTCAAGAGCCATTCTAATGCCGAGAATACATGCTTCGTACTCAGCCATGTTATTAGTGCATCAGAATCTAAGCTTTGATGTTGCTGGATAATGTTTCCCCGATTCGGATATCAACACTGCTCAAATTCCTGATCCTATAGAGTTTATTGCTCCATCAAAGAACATTCTCCACCCAGGATATGATTCTGATATGTCTTTCCCTACAAACAATACTTCTTCATTAGGGAAATATGTTCTAAGTGGTTCATATCCTTCATCTACTGGGTTTTCAGCAACGTGATCGGCCAAAGCTTGCCCCTTGATTGATTTCTGAGTCATGTACACAATATCGAACTCACTTAACAACATTTGCCACTTTGCTAGCTTTCCTGTGGGCATTGCTTTCTGAAATATATACTTGAGCGAGTCCATCCTCGAAATGAGATGTATTGTATAAGCCGACAGATAATGTCTCAATTTCTGAGCAACCCAAGTCAAAGCACAACAAGTTTTCTCTAAAAGGGTGTAACGGGCCTCATAGGATGTGAACTTCTTGCTCAAATAGTATATAGCTCTCTCCTTTCTTCCGGTCTCATCATGTTGTCCCAACACACACCCGAATGCATTGTCAGAGACGGATAAATACAATAGCAAATGACTGCCTGCAAGTGGTGGCACCAACACTGGTGGATTTGAAAGGTAACTCTTGATGGTGTCAAAAGCCTTCTGACATTCTTCGGTCCATTTGGTTGGCGCATCTTTTCGTAGTAACTTGAATATGGGCTCACATATTACCGTTTATTGAGCTATGAACCGACTAATGTAATTCAGTCTCCCCAAAAAACTCATCACTTCCTTCTTAGTATTTGGAGGAGGTAAGTCTTGAATTGCCTTGATCTTGGAAGGATCAAGCTCGATACCTCTTCTGCTAACTATGAATCCGAGTAACTTCCCTGCAGGTACTCCAAATGCACATTTGGCTGGGTTCAACTTCAAATCATACCTACGTAACCTATTAAAGAACTTTTCCAAGTGTGTCAAATGATCCGAACTCTCGCGGGATTTTATGACGACGTCGTCCACATACACCTCAATTTCTTTGTGGATCATACCATGGCAAATGGTGGTCATAGCTCTCATGTAAGTGGCTCCATCATTCTTGAGGTCGAACGACCTCACTCGATAATGGTAGACTCCCCAAGGTGTGATAAATACTGGTTTTTCTGCATCTTCTTCATCCATTAGGATCTGGTGGTATCCCGCAAAACAATCCACAAAAGATTGTAACTCATGCTTAGCACAATTATTGATGAGTATGTGGATATTTGGCAAGGGAAAATTATCTTTCGGACTTGCTTTTTTGAGATCCCGATAAGCCACGCTATCTTGATTTTTCCATCTTTCTTCGCCACTGGAACAATGTTAGCCAGCCAAGTGGGATACTTGGTCACTTCAACGACTCTTGTTTCGATCTGCTTCATGACCTCCTCTTTTATCCTTAAACTCAGATCGGGATTGAACTTTCTGGTTTTCTGCTTTACTGGACAGTACTTTGAATTGATAGGCATCTTATGGGAAACAATATCAGTGCTTAACGCTGGCATATCATCATAAGACCAGGAAAACACATCGATGTATTGTCTGAGCAGCTTGACCAATTCTTCTCTTTCTGTTGCTGCCAAATGGACACTGACTCGGGTTTCTCTGACCGACTCGTCATCTCCCAAGTTTACTGTCTCTGTTTCATCTACGTTTGGCTTTTTATTGTCTTCAAGTTGCCTCAAGTCCTCGATAAGGTGTTCAGGCATCATAGTTTCCTCATCATATTCTTCACATTCATCTTCATCGACCTTACTTGGTTCACCGTGTTCGTGACATGTCATGACATTGGCAAGTTTATATTCAATTTTACTAAAAAGAACAACAAATCAACCATGTTAGATAGAAAGAATTTAAATGTATTTATTGCAGAATAATTCACAATGACAAGATAATCAATTTAAAAATAAACGAGGCTTTCGTTGGAATTTTAAAAAGGCATACAAACTTTGGTCATGAGTCATTTCCTTTTTAAACATTACGATGAAAAATAAAGTGACATAAATGGTGGTTTCGGGCCTCATCTGAACAACACCGATTTTCAAAAATAAAAACTTCAAATCTTTTCTTGGTCTACCAAGCCATTCGATGGATCATAAGTGGAGTGCCCATCCAATTTTGTAGCATCTCTCCAGGTCCGGCAACTCGGATGGTGGGTGTTGTGCATTCTGCCGAGATCACATCACAATCTTCTTCATCAAACAATTTTCCCATTGATGTGAGGCTAAAAATACATATTTTTAATCATTATTTCCTCACATTTATTATTTATGTTTGTCCTTTTTAAGCATTAATTTGATGGATTATGCTAAATTGAGTATTTTATTTGTAGGATTAAATTGGTGAAAAATTGGAGAAGTTTGAAGCTAAAACGAATTAAAGATAAAAGGTTGAAGAAGGAAATCAAGCAGACAGCTTAATGGATTAAAATTTAATAAAATAATATATTTATATATAAAAGGAAATGGACGGCTGCAAATTGTGGAAATTCAATTTTACGCTTGCTGCTGCCACGTGGCAGCAAGTGAATGCTTTTTTATTTAGGAGTTGTTTTCTATAAATAGGGCTTGTAAACCTCGTTTTTGGGGGTTAGACATTATTATTCTAGTTTTACTTTGTGACTTGGGAGATCAATTGGAAAACCTAACAATTATTGATTTCCTAAGTTCGTTTTGAAGATTTTGGCTTTGCAATTCAAGTTAATTTTCTGGGTTTATTATTCTCTTGACGTAAGTTCATGATTTCTCCTTCTACAATTATGAATTGTGTTCTTGCTAATATGAGTAACTAAATCCACAACTAGGGTTGTGGGAACCATGATCGATTAACAAAGTATGAATAGTAAATAAGTAATTCTTGAATAGTGTTTTGCATGCATTGATAATTCTTTCGTTTAAAAGTCTTTTTAACGAGTGCACGCGTTAGAACTCGTCTTGTTGCTACTTGCCGGACCAAGGAGGTAATCAACAAGAAAAGAATTATCAACATAGATTTAGTGTGATACTATCTAATAGGCTAGTGTCGATTGGTGCGAAGTAATAACTAAGCCAAACATCGATTATGATGTCTAATATGAGGTAAAGGTAAGGGTTAGTAAATTATACACACGTAGCCGGACCAAGGTGCGGGGTGAAATTCTCTAGATGCCGGACCAAGGATTTAGAGATACCTAACTTATCACTTTGCATGTAATACACTAGAAAAGGATTACTATTATTAGGATTACTGCGTTATGAGCTTATGGGGAACACATTCCTAGTTACTTTTAATAATCTGAATATAAATAAATACTTAGTTCAAAGCTATCTTTTTATTGTTTTTATTTCAATTTAAATCCCCCCATTTTTTATATAACAACTATCGAGTTAAATATTTGCTATTGACAATATTCTTCCATATTCTCTGTGGGATCGACCCCGACTCATAGTTGGGTAAATATATTGCATATGATCGTTTATATTTCTTTTCAAGAAGTATATTTGAACGTTATCAAAAATGATCCCTTCCACTAGACCATCAATTTCAGGCTCTAAAGCTTTAGCAACAAATGGCTGGTACAATACTGGAATAGGCTTCGGTATATCACAGTCATGTTTCTTCCTTGTTTCTGCTTCAAACAATTCTTCCTCTGTTGGGGTATAACCGACATCGAACCGGAAATTTTGAAGTGGTATAGGAAAAGGTTCGGATATGCCATCCAAATTCTTGCCTAACCCACGCCCAGGTTCAAAACCACTTCTTAGCATAGTTGTGGCTAGCATTTTATACACTTGCGGCATTGGTACTTGCAGTGTTGTGTCTTCAAAAGCAGCATTCATTATCTTCACCATGTGAAAGTTAGTACCTTGAGAAGAATCTTCAATAACTGGAATAGAGAAGCTAGGGTAGCTACGCTAACTCCCATCACCATGAATGGTCATCCCAGATGAACTTCAAAAGTTGATGCAATGTGGATGGAGCTGCTCCGACCGCATGGATCCATGGTCTTCCTAGCAATAAGTTGTAGCTTGTAGATATAACCATCACCTGGAATTCAGTGACAAATTATGCAGGCCCCATTTGGATACACAAGTCTATTTCCCCCATGGTCTCTCTTTGCGAACCATCAAACGCCCTTACATTCATGCGGCTTTGACGGATTTTCCCTACATCATAATTTAGTTGAGTAAGGGTTGATAATGGGGCAGATATTGAGTCCTGAGCCATTATCAATCAATACTCGCGCTACAAACTTGTCCCTACAT